ATTTATAAAATAAAAATACTGAACATATTTGTTGTCTATCAATTTTCTCTTTCAATTTTCGGTCTTTTCATTACTAGAATCTAATGCCATGATACAGAAAATAAACCTATGAATGATTTTTTTTTCAAGTAAATCAAAAAACAACGAAATTAAACAAACCAATTTGAATTATCGACAGCATCGCCGAAACCTGGTGTATCAACAATAGTTAAACGTAATTGCACGCCTTTTTCTTTTAATATAATAGATGATGAATCAATTGAAACCGTTTTCTTTTTTCGATGAACTGTCGATGGAAAATCTTGACCATAAAGTTCCGTTTGAAATAATGTATTTATAAATGTTGATTTACCCAAACCAGATTGACCTAAAAGCATATAAATATATATAGAGAGAGAGAAAGAAAGATATGAATAGATCTAATTGATCTTTATGATTTAGTAGGTCACATATGTATCTCATTAACATTCTTCAGGAAGAAAACAAAAAAAACGAAACATACCAACAACCATTAAATTAAACTCAAATCCTTTTTTAACTGCCCGTCGATGAACTTGATCAGGTAATGATACAAAGCCAACATTTGAACTTATTTCTCGAATTCTTGGTGCTACTTGTTGTTGTTGTTGTTGTTGTTCCTTATTCATTGAATTTGTTTCAGATTCTTGACGTGGTCGTATTAATTTTGATATTGTAGAATTACTTGTTGTTGATCCATAACCATGTGGTGGCGATGGTATTGGTGTTGATGTTGGATTATTAACTATAGTTGGATAAAGAGTTGAACGATAATCACCATTTGATGTATGACTATGTGTTGTTGTACTATGAAGAATTGGAGATTGATGAAGATCATCTAGTGCTAAACGAGTTGATGGACCTTTGACACTTGATATTGATGAAGACGATGATGGAAGAGCTGGTGGTAGAGGTGGCGGCGGTGGAGGAGGAGGAGCAACTGGTGGTGGACCATCAACTGTTGTTGATTCGTTTATTGCAGAAGCAGAAGTTTTTGTTGGTGTAGAATTTGGCGTTGATGTTGTTGAACGAAGATGAGGATCAGCACGACGCTAAATTAATAAATTAAATAAATTCTTCAAAAATAGAAATTGCAAAAATAAAATCTAATTCAAAAGTTAATTTTTAACGACTCCATATAATTGTTTCTCATTGCTGTTCTCTTTCACTAAAAGTTTCTAACAAGCGAAATTTTCAGGCTTCAAATTCTCATTCAAAGCGTCTATCTCTAGTAACTTAAAATTTGATTGTCTTGACATCAATTGATTTTTTTTTATTCTTAATAAATTACAGGTATAGAAAAAAAAATCATTAAGAAATTTTGTTAAGCTAAAAGCAACATAAATAAATTTCATCATTAAGATTATAGCCAGGAAGTCTGTCTACATTAACAAAGAAACTTTTGCTTTATTTACTTTTATCATGAACTTCTCAATTAATAGAATTCAGTTTTCAAAGCGTCACTCTCAATGAAGTTTACCGTATAATTTCCTTTATTAGAATTCATTCTAAAACTTTCAATTAATGAACAGCAAGAAATTGAGCGAAAGACAAACGCTACTTCCAAAAAAACGAAGAAGTTTATTCACTTGAATTATGAGAGAAATATTCAATTCTAGACTACAACTTGACAATATTTTAACAAATGAAGATTTTTTGTTTTTAGTCGAGATATAAAAACAAATAACATGAATAATAATCATCATCATAACTAGTTTTGTTTATGTGAGATGATGATATGTAATTAAATAAATGAGACGCATATATATCGAACGAATAATTTGTAATGATGTAATTACTTTTTTTTCTCGACATAAAAAGATTATCATAGTGAATACAACTAATCACCTAGAGAAAAAGCTTAAACATCTATTCATAGTAATATATCATCAACTCTCAAAAGAATCCAATGAATTCTATTGAGATATGTAACTAATGATATATATGATTCCCTTATTGATAAAAAGTATTTTCATATTGAATGTGTATCATCATTTGAATAACTAACGAATGAAATTTCTATCGTTAAAAAAATAACTAGACGGATTAACATAGAAATCGTTTGTTTAGCGTTGTTTTGATCTCTCTCATTAAACAAAAGCAAACTAATGAATGATTAGTTATTTTTTATTCAAAACAAAAAAAATCTCGAAAAAAATATAAAAGTATATTTGATAGTATCTATTATCGAAGATAACTTTTGTAGGGTTTCTCTCCTATTAACTGATGTTCAATTATGAGAAAAATTATCGATTACAATTCTCTTTTCATCACATCTATGTAACTAATGATTATCTCAGTTGTTTTCATATGAAAAGTAAAGATATTAATCAAATAGATTTTCATTCGATAAAGAAAGATTATTACTCGTCATTGTTTTAATTGATTTTTATTTAAATAAAATGGCGTTACGGCTAAATAAGATGCTTTTATCAAAACGATTATCTTTTTTATTTGTTGAGACGAAAGAAATGTTTTTTCTTTTTTCAATATATCAAATATATGTCAAGATAAAATGAAATATCAGAGAGATCTATTAACTCAATTTTTAATGAATCGAAAAAAAGAAGATTAGATTCAAATATTTCTTTTTAAGATGAAAATAAATATGTCTGACTCAAATTTTCAATGATTTTAATAAAAAAAACATTTACATACATATTTTGCAGCAAGATAAGCATGCGGATCTAAAGCTGTATTATTTCCATTATTATTTGTTAAAATATGTGTCATTTGTTTAAGACTTGAAAGTGGATGAGTTAAATCTGGCGTAGCTAAATTTTTATATTTATTCATAACGGACGATTGATAACGAGATGTTGTTGATGAAAACGATGATGATGCAAGGGGATTTGTAACAACAACAGCTGTTACACCATTTCCATTTGAATGTGTTGTTGTCGTTGTTGTTGTTGCTGCTGTTGATGATGGTTCACTTTCTATTCCATTTGTATGATAACGTATACTCGTCGTGGACGATTTTGATGGGCTTTCGATTGTTGTTGTTGATGACATTATTTAAGCATTATCTAGAAGATATTTTTCAAATGTCAATAATTAGAGATTTACCTCAACATACTTTAGTTATATAACAAACGAAGAGCAAAGAAAAATGACAAATATTCAAGATAAAGTCGATAGTAAAGAGAGAGAAAAAAAGAAAAGAGAGAGTGGTATGTCGATGTTTCTGCTTCCATCGATTGTACATTAACTTCCTGTTCGCTCGCGTTCATCATGTCCGTGTGCCCTCTCTCTAGTCTTTTTCTTTTTCTCCGGTCACATCGAAAGAAAGAGGAAAAAAAACGCACAAGTTTCTTCTCTTCAAATAATCGTTGTTTTCCTTTTCGAGAAAAAAAAAACGATATTGACAGGCACTATATCAATATGAATTTAATTTAATTGTTATTAATATAGAACATAAACTTACTTTAGATTTATATTATAAATAGAAAAAAACAAAACGTTTTTATTTTTTTTTTTTTGAACAAAAATATCAAGGATGACGGACTGATTTCTATTAGTGAACAGCAGTAGTGTGTCTCTCTCGCTCTCTTTGTATTTATATCTGATAGACGTTTATATATATATAGATTCATGTTCCCGTCCGAAGAGAAGAAAAGGCAAAAAAAAATAGAGGTCATCTAACAGCTGCACTTATAATAGATAGGGAAATCTGTGAAGAACAATTGTTATTTTTTTTTTAACAATAAAATGATCAATAGATAAATGAGTGTATTCATTCCGAAGACAATTATGTATCGATCATGTTCATTCATACTGACACAGTAACTGTTTATTAACAAAGAACAAGTGTCTTAGTACGACACAGCATGTGCATTATTTGTTTCATATGCTCGACACTTCTTTATTATTAATAAGATCAATCTCATTCTTTCCTTTCGATCAGAAAAGAAAGTTTTCCAACAATCAATCTATATTAATTAAATTATTTGACAATCGAATATTTGTCTCGGACTAATTAAAGAATTCTTCTTCAATTAAACAAAAAAGACATTTCATTTATTTTCTATATATTAATTTCAATTGAACATTATAGGAATGAAGAATGAACACAATAATATATATGCATGATCAAATAAGCAATTGATCTCAATTTTTCGATACCAAATTTCGTTCAATATTGAACACAGAGATTTTTTTTATCAATAAATAACGATGAAATAAGAATGTTGAATCGCTTAAAAGCAAAAGTCATAACGGACCAATGAAAGCATAGATCAAAAATGTCAATCACAATGAAACAAGATATAGTCTTCTCACTGTCTATAAAAGAAAAATGTTCCTGCTTGCGAAAAATGTCAGTGCAATAAACAATAAAATCTAATTAAATATTAAATTTCTGTTTAACTATGTTAAACAATCTTTGAAAAAAAGTAATTTTATCGAAGAGTATTTTTTTTACATCGTTTTTTTTTATATTGAACATTACTAGTGCAATTTGTTTTAACATATTCAATGCAAAGCATTTTGAAAATAGGTCAAATCGATGCATTGATTTTAATTTATTTAGATTGAAAGAAGAAGTTCGTTTATTGTTTGTGTCAATTGATGCATTTATTTGATTGAATAACATTTTCTTCGGTCTTTTATATTTCCTTTAGAAATAAAAATGATGACTGACAGATACAATTCAATTAACCATAAAAGAATTCATTTGAGATTTTTATGAAAACATCTTTCAAACGAATCATAAGTCTATCGTATTTAAACATAATCAATTGAGAAACAGGAATTTAATTAGAATTTCAATTGTACGGTTCATCTTTCACGGAAAATGAAAAAATAAATATCTAAGATTATTTAATAAAAACAAAAAAAAAGTAAAGAATAGTAAATCGTAGCAAAACAAAAAATCATAGCACGGAATTAAGTAAAAAAAAGAAATTATTGAACAGGAAGATTGCGAAAATTAATCACTCATCATATTTCGAATTAATTTAAATTGAATTATATTTCGTTGTTTATTGTTCGGGTGCAACACGAGACTTTTTTATCCGTTTCGATGATTCTTTCTTTGGCTTATCAATATAAAGATCTTCAATGACATCTTGATATTTTTGTTCAATTGCTTTTCGTTTTAATTTAAATGCATCAGTAACTAGACCAGTTTCAGGTATCCAAGCTTCAGTTACTATTTTAACACGTTGAGGAGTTTCAAATCTTTCAATACCACCTTTTTTACATGCATCTTGAACATCTTTAAGAATTTGTTCATTAAACTCTTCATTATCAACTAATTTTTGCCATTCTTTTTCACCGAAATTTTTCTCTGAATAAATCTTTAATTATAAAAGAAAAATGAAAATTCATAAAGAAAAATAAAAATTCTTACAGTCAGTTGTTTCGGATTTGGACAAATTAATACAACGGTATATTCAGCTGATGCTGATGCACATAAACAGCAATTTTCAACTATTGGAAATTTATGTATTGCCATTTCAACTTTTGTTAATGAAACATATTCACCACCACGTAATTTTACTAAATCTTTTTTTCGGTCTAAAGTAAACAAAAAAAAAAGAAAATAAAAAAGAAAATTATTTCGAACAAAAAACAAAAAGGAAACAAACCGATGATTTTTAGCGTTCCATCAGAAAACATTTCTCCAATATCACCAGTACAAAAATATCTTGTACCATCAATTTCTATAAAATTGATATTTTCTTTTGATGCACCAGCAAAATAACCTTCAGCTACAACTTTTCCTCCAATAAGAATTTCTCCTCTAGGATGTGGTTCATCCGTATTATGATAATGTCCTTCCTCCCAATTAACTAAACGAATTTCACATGAAACAAGTGGATATCCAGCTCGACCAACAGTTGTATCAAATTCTGTTTAAAACAAAATTCGAAATAAAATAAATTAAAAAAAAACTTATGTGAAATCAATTGATACAGACGATCAGCAATAGTGGCAGCGGCACACGTTTCTGTCAAACCATAACCTTGAAAAAGTGTAACACATAATGCTGCTTGAACAAATCGTTGAGTTTCTCCACTTAAAACAGCACCACCACACATCATTGTTTTTACTCGACCTCCTAGTACCATCTCATTCATACGAGTAAAGATTAATCTAAGAATTTTATTTAAATTAATAATTTAAATTGATAAATTATATATACTTATTTAAATATGGGCTATCAAGACCTTCTTCTAAACGCTTTACTTTTATTTTATATGCCATATGAAATAATTGACGTCGAAAAAAATTTGATTGATTAATCTTTTCATTTACAGTTTTGTGTATACGATCCAGAATTGTCTTTTCAATAAAAAGCAAAAACAAAAAAAAACAACAATTTTATTTTCAAAACTAAAAACAAGAAATTTCTTCGTACCGGTACACAACACATAATATGTGGTCTAAGAACTTGTAAATCTCCTTTTTGACCTTGTTTTATAGCTGTTGATTGATCAGTCAATGTTTGTGGAGACGAGTAACCACATTTAATACCCATAAAATAAACAAGAATTTCTTCAAAAAATAAAAACAAACGAAATTTTTAATTATTTAAAAGTTTTTTTTTTTTATTAAACAAACAAACCGCAACAAAGCTCAAGAATATGAGCCAGTGGTAGATAAGCAATGTATATATCAGTGTCAGTATTAATCATTGTAAAAATACGTTCTTGTTGGCCCGTCATTGCAGCAATTATATTTTCATGCTTTATCAATACACCTGATCGAAAAATCAATCAATTAAATCATATAAAAGATAGTTTTGAGTCACGAAATGAGACATAATTATCATAAGTTTATTACATCGAAAATAAAAATTTTATATTAGAAAATCGTTTTTTAACTGTTTATTAAAAGGTTTCTATTTTTTTAATCAATCATAAGTAGATTTCTTAGTAAGATAGTTCAATTTTAGTTATCAATTAAAATATTAATATTAAAAAAAAATTCATATTTGATAATCAACGACAAAAATAGAATCAGTAATGGTCAATAGTACATCTAACTGATTCTTTATTGTGCTGCTAGTACAATGTTTTATTGACATTTTTATTATCATTTATTGTTAAATGTCATTTTTATTGTATACAAAATTCTCTTTCTTATTCTATCATGTGTTTTTTTTTTATCACCATCAATTATTCTAGACAACATTTGCCTATCATTATTTTTCATTTAAGTAATTCTTACAAGAATTCATTAATGTATTGGATATCAGAAATAGAATAACTTATTTAGAAGGCTTGAAAAATCGAACTAAGTACTTTTAAATATTGAATAAAATCTTCAAATCTATTCATATTTCAATATGATAACATAAATCAATAATTGATTTGAATATTGAAATAAAAATTTGTGTGTAATGTTTTTGATTGATTAATGTAATAGATAAAAATCTTGCTGCTTTCCTTATTATTAATCATTGGAGAAAAATAAAAAAATATTTTCTTTCTGAGAGAACAGAAAAAAAATTTGTACGATACAGACGAAGGTAAGTGCGACATTTCTGACGTGTCTTTATACCCAACTGAGTATTTTTGATAGCACAATACATGAATTCGACTAGATAAATGATCCAGAACAAAAAAAATCTTGGAAGTTCTTATAATAAAAAACTTTTTCAATTTTCAAAAGATTTTTTTGTCATGTTTCATATTCTAAGAGCTTTCTACATCTGATTTTTCTGTTTTTCTCTTTAAAACTTTTGTCTATATAAAATTCGATAAGATTATCTTCTAAAAACTAACCTTTTGGTGTACCAGTACTACCACTAGTATACATAATAACAGCAATATCTTTTCTATTAGGTCGTTTTCGTACAATATCATCATCTAAACAAGAAAATAATTTATTAAATAAAATAAGAAAAAGTACATGAAAATTTACTAATAGTGGCATTTTTTCCTTTCTCTTCTAATTGACTTAATGGAATATATTCAATATTATGTTTATCTTTAGATAATTTTACTGTTTGTGATTTCGCAAGAGACGGAAAATAAATAACATGACGAACTTTTTCTGTATGATCTAATATTTGCTAAATAAAATAAATTAAACTTTTTTAAAAATCTTTACAAGAACAAGATAATCTTACTTCAAGTTTTGTTAGTAATTCATTTGAAGTAAAAATAATTGATACTTGTGATTCATTAATTCCATGTTTAACAGCTTCTTCACCCAAAGTTGCATAAAGTGTAACAACAGTTATACCATGACGAAAAGCAGCAAATGCAGTTAATAACCATTCAGAACGTGTTTCAGAAAATATTAAAACTTTATCACCTGGCTTAGCTCCAATAGATAATAAACCTCGACCAATAGCTTCAATATGATTATATGTTTCACGATATGTTGTAAATTTATATTCACCCAATACAAACTAAAATTTTAGAATTAGAAAATTTTTGTTTTAATATTATTTATAAACATTAAATAAATGAAAACCTTTTTAAATATTTTTCCGTTTGATTGTTTTTCATCTTGAACATCAAGAATTTCTCGAACACCTAATGTTTCTTTATCAGCATAATGTTGAAGGCAATACTCTGGTATATCAGCTAATGTTTTAACATATTCATCAGGTGTAGTTCGAAGTTTATCAAGAACTTCAACAGCACGATATGGTGCTGAACAATCAGAAGGATTAGTTATTTTTGCACGAATTCGTTTTTGTAGTCTAGATCGATCCTCATCTCTTCCTAATGTCATTATTAAATTCAAAAATGTTGGCAATTGAACAAATAAAAATGTTATTAAATAGATGAATAAAGTTTTTAATAATGTTATTCCAAATCGTTTGAAAACGGTATTCCAAGTTGAACCGAATACACAACTAAATGCTCCAGGAGACATACTAAATTAAAGAGTTTTTTTTTTTTTTTAATCAGAATATTCTATATTATAACACTGATCATCAGATATTAGCAATTAAAGTCAACACGAGCCTTGTTTCTTACCATTATTACAAGAAATTCGAACAAAAAATAAGTTCATTCAATATTCTCTCCGAAAAGTATAAAAATATCTTTTTTTCTTTTTATCAAAAGTTACATCAACATCACTCACCTGATTTACTTTATCGAGTCGTTAAAAGAGATTTTACAAAGAATTTATATCATTTATTTATAATGTAAAAATCTTGAAAAGTGAAAGCAAAAAAAACAAGCGTAATATTTATTTCTAATTAAAACCACAGCCATCTTATACAAAATAATGAGTAAAAAAGAACTAAAAATAATACGTTTTAGTTTTATCGCAATAACAAATCGTCATAAAAAAAAAAGCATGAAGAAAGAAAAGAACAAAAATAGTAATTTTCACGTGATTTTCATCTTCGACTACCTACTTCATATATTAAGAGATAATAATCGTCTTTTTGTTGCTAAAGTATCTTCTTCCATTTTCACATGATATGATTCGATAGATACTAGCGACAGAGAATCAAGGTTTATATCATCACATGTAGGTGTCTCTCAACAACACAATTCCATAGAAAGAAATGTTTATATTAAGTAATACAAGAAAATAATTATTTATAAATCTGAACTTCAATAGAAAAGAAAAACAATATAATAATTTCACAGTGCACATATACTTCATACTTCATACAAGTCGAAACATAACTTCCAAGTCCTTTTTGTATCTAAAAAGTTGGGAAATGTAATAGATGACCTTGTTTCATCTAGATATGTGTTGAAAGACATGTCATCTTAAATTATATTTTATTTGATTATGCAAGAATGGATATAAGAAGAAGCATATTTTAGTTACACTCTTAAATAATGGAATAAGAGAAAATTATGCAATTGACAATGAAGTTTTTTAAAAAGTCGACTGAAATCAATGGGCGAATATATCTATGAAAATCATGTAAGTTTTTGTACTGTTATTAAGTAATAGGTAATTATCTACTCTAGTCGAACTTTGTTTTTTTTCTAATATTCCTGAAGTACTTGAGTATGTTGAACAAGAAAGTCACGTGATATGGACACATATCGAAATTTGTGCATGCCACATACATGAACTAAAAAATAGTTTGACTTGGATACTGTATGATTAAGTAATATCAACCAGGTTCATTTCAATCTTAATTCTAACTTGTTGATGAGAAAATAAATTATATATTTTTTTTTTCTTTTAAAGAAAATTAGATGTTCAATTAAGTTTACCTTATTTTGTTTCTTTAGTTTTCTAATTAAAGAAGTTGTTGTCTGTCTTATTTTTATAAATATTCGCTCGAATGTATTTGTATTTTAATTTATACAAAATAAGAAGGAACATGTATATGTGTTTATTTTTCCACTTATTTTCTAAACTTTAGAAAGGATTTCAAGGACAAAAAAAAAACCGTGGATAATTTAGCGGACAATAGTCTATGAAAATGATTAACTTTATCGTGTTTGTGAAGAAATTTGTCTAAGTTGTTGAAGACATGCTTGTAAAGTATCTTGTTCTTGTTTAGGTGTAATGGATTTTTTAACTTCATCTGTAATCCAATTAATCATATTTGTTCTTTCGAAATCTTTTCGTGTATTTTGAAGAGCAACTTGATAATCTAATCGTCTTTTAACAGCTTCATACATTTGTTTCATTCTTTCACGATATGCTGTTTCTAATCCCATATTAATAATATCTTTTCGAGCTTCTAATAATAATTCAATACTTTTAGCACGTTCTAATGATTCTTCATATCCATGTAACATTTTTCCAGCCATAGCTTTTGAATTATTAACAACTGAATTATAACGATCAACTTCTTCTTGATGCCAACCACGAAAAGCATTACCAACTGATGGACCAAGTCTATTTTAAAAAAATCAATATTTATTAATAAATATCTTTTGTTAAGTTCATATTATGAATATAAAGCTCTTTAATACAATCTTCGGAATATAAAATGTGGAACTAAACGATTTCATAAAAACTAAGAGATAATTTAATAATCATTCAGGTATTTCTTCAAAATATCTTTGGAAATCTTAAAAGAACAAATAATAGTTTCAATTGTAAATTTCTCTTTAGTATTATCTACTTGCTTTCATTTTCGAGTAACGTCCTATTAAATGAAATAAATATATTTTCTTTTATGTTCTAACAAAGAATTACTTATCTTTTTTCTTTTTCATTCTACTTTTTCTCAAGAATTTCAAAAAAACAACTCTATTATAGTCCGACCAATTAAAAGTCTAAGTAAAAGAGTTCATTTTTTTCCTTGTATCTGCAAAGACAAAAAAACTAGTTTTGACTCAGACTTTTATCTTGAGTAGTCAAAAATTTCTCGCAAGAGCAGTCTATAATGTGATCCTCATTGGTTTTATTCGTTTTTTAAGTGAACGGTAGTCGTTAGACAATAGATCCTCGATGTAATTCAGAACCTAATGAATGATGATTCATCTATTAGTATTGATTATATTGCTACGAACTTAGACATAGATATAAAAGAAACTATCGTGATCAATACTTGAAAATATTAGTCAACAATTTTTCATAAGAAAAAAACATCATCAATAACAAATAACATTAATTTGCATTTTAAAAAGTACAATATTACATGTACAAGATATTATTCTCAATTTTAATATCTTCAAGAGAAAAAAAAATCTAATTCATTGTTCACTTACTATATTCACCTGAAAGAATACCAAAAGATATTCCAGAAGTCTATTGAAACGATGAAACTTTGTATTAAACATCATGAGAATTACTTCGAACATTTAGTGTTAGAAGATTAGCAAAATGTTTTTTCTATGAATAAATATTTGAAAGTACGAGAACTTATTGACTAACCTATGTAGCTCATAGTACAATAGTAACGATTTTGCTATGAGCTAAAAATTTGAGTCAATGCTTGTTTTTTTTTTCTGCAAACACAGGAAAAAAACTTAAGCGTTTTTAATCTGAATTTTAATTAGTCGGACGATAGTAATATCAACTTAAACGATAGATAATAATTACATTTGAACAGAGTTTCAAAAATGAAAAATTTCTAATCTAAATCTATTCAAACTTTTTTGTTTTCTCGATTGAGATTTATAGAATCGTTATTCATGATGATCAATTTATCTTACTTTTTAACTACAGTAATAACTGCTGCAGCCAAAATAAGGTATTCAGTAAAATCATACCACAAAACGATATATTCTTTACTAAATCCATAGATAAGTAAACCATAAAAAAACATATATGGTCCAGTAACACCAGTTTTTTCATAAAAAAATTTAAACCATGATTCAGGTACACAATACCAACGAACTGGATTTGGTACTTCACGAAGTTTATATGGTGGAAAATTAACTAAGTCACGTTCTGGCCATTGATCATGAGGCCATAAACGTTTTCCATTAAATTCAGTGCGCCATTTAATTGATGATAAATCTTTTAATGAATCTTCAACTCTTAAAACTTTTTCATCACTTTTCTTTTCAACTAATGATTTATCATCTAAATAGATCATTTTGATTATTATTATTGAAGAATAATAAATGAATAAATACCTGTTTTTTTGGATTTTGATGAAGTACTTTGAAAGAAAATACTCGAAATTGATAATGGTCGAAGTGTAAGCAACAATGGTGAAGCTCCACTGGATATCAAAGGGCGAACAGCTTTGGTCAACATCTGTTAAGTTAAAGACAAATGTTTCTTATTCTGCTCGTTTTTTTACATCAAATGGACGTAAACAAACAAGTGACTATAAGGCGACCTCTGTTTTTTTGGTAATTGACACGTGAAGAAAAAAAATTCATTTTAATAAACTTTTTCATTAAGAAGTTTTACGAACAAATACTTTCTTAGAATAGAAATTAAATGAAAAAAAAAAGACAAAAACTAATAAGAATGGTTGAATAATCACCATTCATAGATTAATGAATCAACAATGATTCATCTCTTTGAAGGAGACATACTCTGTTAATCAATGTACTAAGAAATATTTTCTTTTAAAATAATAATAATAATAATAATAATAATAATGTTATCATGTATTGGTAAGCGTTCTTCATCCAAAGATCGATATAATCAACATCAAATATTTAAAGTAAGACTAATAATGGTTTATTATTTAATTCTTGTGAATTTTGAAAGAATGACGAAGGTATGAAGAAATTAGTATCAGAAGATGAAGATGATCATAATAATAAAACAAAAAAGAACACAAAGAAACAATCGTCATCAACTATTAGTGAACTTGTTCTTCATTTCAATATTTCTCCAAATGTTAATCAAATAAATCAATCTTATTCTCCTATAGATTATTATCCTATGATATCGAACAGTTTACTTGAAAATGTTAATAATGAAAAATTATCTACAAGTCATGGTAAGCAATTTTATTCGACTTGTTCTTCTTGTAGATCTTCTTTTTTTTTTCTTTCTTTTTAATTAAAAGAATCATTATCTGATTGTTATTTAAATCCATCAACAATTATTGAAGTAAGAAAATTCTTTCATATTTCTTAATAAAAATAATTTTCGTTTTATATTTTAAGAGAAAAAGTGATATAAACCATATGGAAACAACAGTGATGCAATCTCTAATAGTCAAATTTCCAGTGACCATTAATCAACAAGTTTCGGAAAAGACCAATGACAAACGATCTTCATCTTCAACGAATTCATATTCTGCAGGTTATTTTTCTTTTGTTTTTTTCTATCAACAGAATTAAAGTTTTTCATTTTTTTTTAGACTAGTCAAATAATTATCAACATTCAATTGCAACATGCTTTTATTATTTTTTATATATTAATTGTGATATTTTTTTAATAAAGAAGAACTATTTTTCTTTTTAATAAAAAATAAAAGAAGAAAAATGCAAAAGAAATTCTTTTAGAAATAAATTATAAATGAATTTGCTTGGTATTGATGTAAGTGGTGCGTGTGCAACATTTTCACGTCTTTGCTATTTTGGTGCTCCATGGCATTCAGTAATTGTTCAATGGTATCGTCAACAAAGATCAGATCATTATCGTTATCCATCATCTGATGATGATATACAAGTTGTATATGAATCAAAAAATTATATTGTTGTTAATAAAGATGATCTTGTTCCAATTGATGCATATGATGCTCCATCACAAGTTAATGTAACACAACAGGTTAAAAAATGGTTTGAAAAACGTGAAACAGAAAAATTTTTTAAACAAGAACCATCACCTACTGAACAACAAACTGAACAATGGAGTAAAAGTTTAGCACAAAAAATTCAAGATATTCGGTATTGTCATCGACTTGATTTAGGTAAAATTTAGAATTTAAATAAATAATTTTAAAAATTTAATTAATGTTTAAGGTACAAGTGGATGTATGTGTTTTGCTCGCTCAGCAGTCTCAAGTTTTCTTGCTTATAAAGCATTTATTGATAAACGTGTTTTAAAATATTATTTAGCTCTTATTCATGGTCATCTTCATGCATCTTATCCAATATTTGTTGATGTACCAATTGGAGAAAATGCTTCATGTTATGGACGAATTATGTGTACAAATGATCATCCATATTGTACATATCCAAAATCTGCACAATCTCATGTTGATGTTTTAGAACATGGTGAATATGATGGAAAACCAGCATCAAAAGTACTTGTCAGAATTTTAACAGGCAAACGACATCAAATTCGTTTACATATGAATTATTTGGGTCATCCTATTATTGGAGATTATCTTTATACAGAACCTATTGATTATAAACCACATAGAATTATGTTACATGCAAGATCTTTAACAATTCATACTGATCAAGAATTAATTGATGCTTTAGCAAAAGATCCTTTTCTTACACAATTTGATTCAAAATGGAAGAAAACAAAAACAATATATCCTGTTAATCGTTGGTAGTTTTTCTTTTCTTTTGATAATGTAACATCTAGTCTATTATTTGTTGGTTTAATGTTTCAATGATAAGCAAAAATTCGTATTATAGCATATATTTTGTTTCGTTGTTCATAAAAAAAAAATTTCAACCAATGATTTCTTTTTCTAATAATTTTCTATTGAATATATTTTTTGTCTAACTATTTGCTTAGACAACATAGATTTAATGAGATTACAACTTTTATGTATTTGCATTAAACTATATCGAAATATTTCTATAAGTCTCTTTGCAAAAGAATAATGATTCCTTTGTTTTTATTTTTATTTACATAGAGAAAACAGCATTTTTCTATGAGCACTTGTTCACAGATGTGATGAAATCTTGTGGGTGATAGTGAATGCAAAAATCGAACAACCACAATTGTCAGACAATTGAGAAATTTGAATCTTAATTAAAATAGATTCAAAAGATATAGAAATCTTAGAACATTCTACTATCAAAATAAAAAATAAAAAAAAGAATTGTTTGTTCAAAACTATTCATATTTAACAACACTAAGAGAGAAACAAAACTGCTGGATACTCAAAATAACGTTATATGAAAACTAAATCAGTTTCATTAACACGAGGTGAGGCGAGAAAGATGACGAAGCAGCTACTTTGTTATCTTGACCTTGGTGATTCTCCTACAACAGCTCGTGAAAAAGATTCTGCATAAGTATATTTAAATAAAAAGTAAAACAAAGTTTAATCTTAACCGAGACAGAAACAAACAAACTACTCTAATATTGATCATATTTGGAGCATAAAATGAAGTGTAAAGGCATAGATGTTGTAAATTTACATTTACATGAGACTTAAGGAAAAAGACTATTTTTATCTCTGTTATTGTTGATATAAAAATAAGTCAAATTTTAATATTTAGCGTGTTTCAACTAGGTGCTTACTACTATTGTGCATTTTTCAAATTTTTAGCTCTATTAATAAAGTAAATGTGTGAATTAGTCAGAATTCGTTTCGTCAACAGCATTAATACACTATAAAATGATATTGCTCACTTTTTACAAGTCGTAACTAAAAATGTAGTGTTTGATTATATGTTACTAAAAATTACCTGAAGTTCGTATGAATCCTGGCTGCATATCTATTGAAATTCATTTAAACATCCTGGGGTAGAGGTATAGTATCGAAGGGAAGACCAAGACGAATCATATCAATATCCACACGCGAACATCTTCAAGATGGGAGATTAGTTCGTGTTTTTTGCACATACATGACAATTTTGTCGTTCTCTTTTTTTTTCCTATAAGGTAGATTTGAGTGATGAAAAAGTTCATAGGACAGTGACAATCGATTATTATAGTTTTAAAGCTTTCAAGTATGCCTGTGTCATTTCGATTACGTTCTTTTACAGTTAAATTTAGCTAATCCATCTTTGATTTTGTCAGAGAATATTAAGCAATTGACGTCTTTGTAAGTCAAATCGAACAAGAATTGGATCAGACGCTAACAACGAGCAAACGTCATACTCTATCAAAGGTAAGATAATTAAAGAGATTTTATTTTCGAAATTTTTCGACGAATTTTTTCAGATGAAGCATTTCTGGCTGGTCAATTAAATCGTTAATCAACATTCTGATAGGATTGGTAAAGAAAACAGTGAAAAAACGTCTCAATACGTTGCGTTCATTTCACCTAATGAGATTGTCTCGTAAAATGATCTAGTTCGACAATCGCATCGTCTTGTTCACATGGATGGTCATGAAAATACGTTACCATATCTAGAAGCTACCGATAATACAATGAAAGTCGATCTGATTAATGCAAATCTTATTGTATGGCTACTATAATGGATCGATCTTTCGATTTTTCTATGGTTTCAGTGTGACGATAAGAGTATCTATCAACAAAGCACCTAAAAGCGATTGTCGAATCTCACCGACAAAGAATTGACAGCAATGAATGAGAAAATCAAGAATTTCTTTGATAGCAATGACAGTATTTTCCATGTCAATAATGCAAGATCATCAATTACGAATTATTCAATTTTATTGATGTTTGTTTTCTTTTTCAAAGAAAAATCAATAAATTCGCGGATTTAGATCTCACCAATGAGAATATCTTCAAATTTACTCTCAATCGTTTTCTTCGACCGATCTTCATTCACGTATGGATCTCATTGCAATTGCTGATTGCAATCGAAAGAGTGCGTTTGATTTTGTCATTAAGGAAACCAAATCGATCCGAATCGGTCTTAAGATAATGTGTTTTTGTTTTTGTCTGGTCGATCGATCAATTTCAAGAAAAATGGTGCAAAATCAATCATAATTTTCATACGAAATATGCAAACTGCTGTGATTTGATCTGACTACAATCCATTGTATTCGTGTGATGTTGTAGGATGTTACGATATGTTCGTGTGACGTTACTCAGAATGTATCAATTGACGTGAGATTATTGGGCTCGATGTCAGTAGTCATAGTTTGATGGCATTATATTACGCATCGCCATAGACATGTCTAATCATGGCAGACAACGACAACGCATTGCTGTGAGATATGATTCGATCTATCGAAGAAACGTCTCCACACTATTCGTCTCAATTTATGAGAATCAAACAAATTTCGTGTAGTCGGCATCGATACGTTTTGTATATGGCCTTGAATTTTAGTTGACCATTTTTCTGTTAGCTGTGTAGAAATATATTATCATCGTCAAAAATGCAGAATGAAAGATTGTCTATACATTGAACAGGTTTGTTACAACTTCTATTACACTAAACTTGGTACACATAGTATGACAATCTGACGAGATGACCATCTACCGTAGTTAATGCATTTTTGATTTAGGATTATACTCGTATTACTCTTTTTCGATTTCAGTTCGTGCTCTTACAACAATGTAACAACTTTCACAACTAAACTTATTTCATAAATTATCAATTGTGATGCTCGTTTCCGATTTAGATAACCATCGTCGATAGGAACAGTTAAATATTCTTCTCATTTATTAGTGAAAACCTAAATTTGCTGTCATCGATCAATACAACCTGTTGAATATGACCGATTTGTGTCGGCAACAATTCCAGTAGACGCATTCACGTGTTCGCGAAACAACTTTAATCTGTCAATACTTATTTTCTCCTTTTAAAATGTCTCTGTTTATGTCAAATATTTGTCTTATTTTTCCATCACGACTAGTCCAGGTTGAGACTTAAGAATTTTATTTCAAGATTAAAAAAATATGTGAAATATTGGCATGAAATGACATCTTCTTGAGCACAGGAAACAACCAATCGGTCATTACGAATCCAAACTTGATCGTTATTCATCAATTGACTCACGGTAAAGAAGAGTAGGTAGTTGATATTCCAGATAGTCATTTCAAGTTGAAAACAATGCGATCACCTTTTCGAATAATAACACTCATTACTTTGAATGAGTTCTCATCGAGCAACAGTTGAACTGAATAGAATATTGCCAAAGAATTGTCGAATGCTGCAAGAAAATATGGATGAAGGCTGTGTAATGGATAAACTTTCGGCAATGTAGTTTCACGTGGTTGAATCAAAAACGTCTGGCAATGTTTCGATCACTTTTAATGTTTCATATAGAACATTGGGTGAGTCGATAATATTGCTAAAGTTCGACGAAAGACAATACCAACAAGTGAATGACATCGAATCAAAATCATCGTTAAAGTCTAATCAATATCGTCGAATGAAGCTCAAATACAGACGAAACAGAGCTCTATCTTGATTTATATTATATCCATAAAATATGGTAGCAGCCTGTTGTTTTGAGTAATTTGCCAAACTCCATCATGACATTTTTTTCTTCTTTGCTCTTCATTGTTTTTCTACTTATACGATGAGAGAACGAGCATGATAATCATGTGTTCTGAATCACTAGCGGCTCTCTATTTTAATTGCCCTAGTCAAGGACAAACAAAGAAGAAAGACGAGAAAGAATCAGTGTTCGACGATGCACCAATAATATACGGTTCTTGTTGAATGCTTCGTTTTTTTCTAGTTCTCAAATGAAGCAGGCCACATTCATCATTGTTGTTTTATCACTGTTCTTCGTCAAATATGCTGCTGAATGACAAAAACAAAGCATTCTTGCACAAGCAATGGCAATTACGCGTGGGAATGATTCATCTCAGGTTTCATACTGACATGTATATATATATACGTCCGTTCCTTGCCGTATGTAGTTTATTACCGTTCACAGAACTATGGCATCGTCTTTAGTGAAAATCACACCCAACTATCATGGTTGTATCGATCCGAAAACAACAGTAAATCATGAAAAATTTCTCATGGACATGGCAGCGTTCGGTAATATTCATCCGATTCGATTCTTCACCATTAAGTATCAAGCATTACCATGTACTATGAATACAAATATGTGTCAATATCATCAAAATAATGTCACACCAGCTCTGGCTCATACGACAAGGCAAGTATTCTGTAGAAGTTGCTATAGGAACTTGGCGTTAAATTCTTGATACATACTTGAAGTCATGCTTTTACGAGCAGATATAGATGGTAAAACTATAAAATGTTCTTTTCTTTCGATCGAGGAACATCTAAATTTATTCCAATTCAATGGGTCAATCTAGGGAGTATATTTTTTTAATTTTGATTACAGTATCATCCAGTATCTTATTGACGAGTACAAAGTTGATCCGAATGCAATGATATCGAATACGTTTTATATGGCTGAGAAAAAAATTTCTTACTATTCCGATATTTATATTGATTTGGGTGATTATCTCTCCGTATATCTATCGGGTGGTCACGTATCTCAGCCTGAACTCGACAATCCACTCGATCTCAAACCGGATACCGACGAGAAAACATTTTTCTGTGTCAATACAATTTGCGTAAGTTGTTATTGATCGATTACTATTGATGAGGTACTTTGATGATCATCTTTGATAGGTCTATTACGTTCCACAAACACGAGAACGAGCACAAACTCTGATCGATCAAATATGTCGATTCAAACTCTTTCCCATCACGGAAACAAGTCTACAAATGGTTTGTTACAATCCGCAATCGGGCTTCTACACGTCGTCGATTTTAATCAAACGGCCACTAATTAAAGATTTACGTTTGAACTATGGCGATGGATTTTCCGAAGTCCATGAAAAACTTTTGAAACGATTACGCGAAGCCGATTCAACCGGCATCACTTTCTTGCATGGACCACCAGTAAGATAATGATCCAACAATTCAACATTATAAACGTATTCCTATTGTTTTAGGGAACTGGCAAAACATATTACATTCGGTATTTGATCAATGAAATTAGCGAAAAAAGTCTGATTTATGTGCCGCCAGATTTGGTCACGGTAAGCGTTTATATCCGATTTTCTTCCATACGAATTTCTATTTCGTTTAGGAAATGACTAAACCAGGCTTTTTACCATTTCTCATGCAATATCCGAATTCGATATTGATTGTTGAAGATGCTGAGAATATTATACTCGATCGCAAAGATAGTATTAATCCAAATCAAGCCGTTAGCAATCTATTAAATTTAAGTGATGGCCTACTGGGTGATGCGATGCATCAACAAATTATTACGACATTCAACTGCGAAATCAAAGGCATTGATCCTGCTCTACTTCGCGAAGGACGTTTATTGGTCGAACACAAATTCGAGAAGTTGTCTACTGAAAATGCTCGACGTTTGTCTGCAGAGTTGGGCATCGAAGGAGCTGATCAAATTCAAAATTCAATGAGCTTAGCGGAGATCTACGCAAAGAAAACATCGTCAAAATAGGGAATGCATTGTTCGTTGGATTAAACGCTTTTGAACTTTTCAATAAAACGCTGAATGTAATATTATCACTTCGGTTGTACTACTGCTGTGGGATAAGAGTGAGAGGTGCATGTTGATGGTTATGTAGAGGATGTGAGAGAAATGAGTGTATGGGTGTCTAGCTATCATTTTTGAATGTTTCAAATGATTAGTATTCTCTTCATAATTATATCTGGCTCGACGCACTGAAACAAAAATAAAAAATGAAAATAAAAAAAATCAGTCGAAGACGGCACAAAAGCGATATTATGAAGAAGCTGTGAAACACATTTCAGATGTTTCAATAAATGTGGAAACAAATATTGAGTTATTTGAAGTTCTTTTATGTTCATATTCTTATCATATTCACACTGTAAAGAAAGCTAATGGTCGTCATACTGATTATTGATTATATTCATCAAATCCTGAAAGATAAATAATATTTTGTGATATTCATCATTTTGAACCAGATCTAGTTTGAACTGCTTCATAAAACACATATTCTCTGCCAATTGTGTGAAATTCTGGAAATTTTCTGAACTGGACATTGATAAACTGTCATACTTCTCAGTATTTAATACTGTCATATGGATTAAAAAATTCTTTTTCGCTTGATTCTTCTATACAACTCAATCATTGAAGACGTTGTAAGAGATTTATATATTTCTTACCTATTATATTTTACATGTGTCATGACAACATACAAAGATTAATCGAATTTTACTAATAGAAAAAGGCTCACAAAACATTGATATTGTTTGTACGTATTTAAAAATATCATAGAAAGTTTCATTTCAAATTATAAACGTGATTAAAATATTCATTAATCGCCGGGATAGCTCAGTTGGGAGAGCGTCAGACTGAAGATCTGAAGGTCCCTGGTTCGATCCCGGGTCACGGCATCTTTATTTTTATTTTTTATTTCACATCACAAGACATTAATCAGTTGTTACCTAATAGAAATGACTATACGAGTGAAAAAAACTAATTTTTTTGCAAATTTGAATCAATCTTATTGTTGCCATTTCTGATACTATTTAATGCATCAAAGAATTCAAAAAAAAATCACGATAATTATAAGATTTTCATACTCAGTGCGACAAGCACATTAATTATGAAAACATTTTATTTTGGAAGAATAAGTTTTGAGAGCATAATAATTACAGTTCATGAGATAACCAAGATTTTTTTTTTCGTATATTCCTTTGTTCTTTTTTCTTCATTGTAACTACGTAGCTGTATATATGTTCAAAAATAGAATTTTAATACGATAACTTTATAATATACACAAGAAAAAAAACACTAATTTGTTATCGATCTCTATACAACGTACATTTGTTTATTCTTATTCAAAGATTAAATATTGTTTTCTAACAGAGAGGGCAAAAATTCAGCATTACTTTTATTTTTCATATAGCGTTGTAAGCCAATGTTGTAAATACATGATCGTTTTTTTATTAGAAAGAGACAAATATCTCGTGAAAAACTTTTTATTAGTCTATTCCGAATTTTATAAGATGTTCTGCTATTACCGATTCTTCATAAGTGGTGATTACAGTCAGAAAACTGATTTCAACTTCGAGAAGTTGTCAGAAACAATATATATTTTATACAAAAAAAAAGGAAGTTTACCAAGTTCACAGTTAAGCAATATTAATTTGGGTAGAATACAGCATTTTTATAGGATAATCAAGTCAAACCTTGTTTTTGTTTTGTTCAACGTCGCCTTGGATTTTTAATTAAAACCATGTCTTGTTCAGTCTCTTGTACGGTCAGATTAATTATTTTCATATTATTCGGAATCATTTCACTGCTATGAGTATCTATGCATCACTTATGACAAAGGTCAAAGAAATACGTTTCACTAAACAAATTGTGATTGAAGCTGCAGAAGAATTTCTCGACGCATTTTGCCACACCCTTTTGGCACTTGATATTTAGCTCCTTTTAAAACAAAAAAGGATCAGGCCTCTACGATAAAATTAATGCAAAACTTTTGCCATATTCGTTACATAATATTTTTTTTTCATTGAAGTTATCAAGAAGATTCTACATCATTTGATAAGAATTATGAAAAATAAATTTTTCTTACTTAACCAGGGATAAGGATATCTTAATAAGAGACATCTGGTTATCCGAAAAAGTCTAAATCCACGTTTTTTTAAATAAAATAAGAAATTATTAAAGGCTGAAGATTTATATTCTGAGTAGACTCATCATATTACAAAAGAACATTTCGACTATCTACCATGCAATACGATAAGACCATTTTATTCCTCTCAGTCCATTATAAAATTTTTATAGAAACAACGCGATTTATTCAATTATATTATTAACAGAGAGAGGATTTCATAAGTAATAACCCCATTTTTATTTTTTACTTTTTGTATCGTTGCTATTTTCCGAGGTGGAGATGTTTTGGATATAGTATATATCTTAAGAATAATATCTAAGCTATTAATCAGCAGAATTTATAGTCAATTTTGCATGAATCACGGAAAGTGCCATATCACTAATAATATTCAAAAAGAAATTTATCAAAGTCATTTTTTACTCTTTTTTGGTAAAGAATTAGCCACTCAGTGTTTTGTGAACTTCTCTGTCACTTTTGACTGCTTTGACTTGAACTTTTCCAAAAAATATAGTCTATACAATTCTTTAAAAAGTCCAAGAAAAACATTCTTTCAAAAGAATAACTTAAAATGGTGTGAAGCCCGTTTAGTCAGGAGAAGAGAGATAATTTCTTTTGTAAAAACACAACCTGTAAAAATTGACCTTTTTGGAGTGTAGTGCTGCTAGTCAGATAAGGGTTTTCGACAATCCTTTTGGAGAACTTTCTTTCTGGGACTTTTTGAGAGAAGCTCACAGACTATCATTTATAAGAAGAAATGAAGTCGAAGCACAAAAAACTGATAGAGGTATGAACAAAACACTGATGTCAGGGAATAATTCTTTGCAGAAAACAAAGTAAAAAACAACTTTGATAAAGTTTTCAATAGTTTCACAATGTTACACTTTCGTATGGTTCAGGCAAAATGAGTGTGACTTCTGCTGAATAATAGCTTACAAGACAAATTCAGACTTTGATAAAAGCTATATAAATAAGTGCAGATCAACAATTGAACTCAACAAACAATGTTCTTCTTCATATTCCGCTATTCTCACTACTTTCATCCGATGATGCCACTCAGTTCATTGCGATGGCTTTGAGTCGATCATGATGAAACATCACTACAACGAGAGCACATCATGTTTAATGAACTCATACAATCATAAGTGACACTTCAAAAATAAAATCCACTGTTGTCCAATAAAAGAAAAAACAATTTTTCCTTGGAGAACGCTTTCAACTAAGAGATGCCAATCTTTGAAAATATTCTTATTGGACAGAGAAAACTCTTAGCCTAACTCAAAAACTACCTTTCCATAGAAAACAATTCAACAACTACATTACGAACAAACACTTTCTCTCACTCTAACTTTTCCAACTGAAGAAAGGGCACAGAACTCTCGATCAACATGTGAAAACATACCATTTCAAAGCGGCAAAAATCAAATTACAACATATCAATCTCCGTCCTAAACTTCACTAAAGCCTGAAACCCATATTTACCTGAAATAAGCTATTTACATTAAGTTTTAGTAAGTATACCTTATGCTACTTTACAAAACTCAATGAATTCCACAGGATGCAGATCCTCCGTCTCCGAGAAAAGTAATTTTTCATATAGTTGAGCGCAGAATGCGAAAACTTTCACATAGGTGGAAAAATCAATTTTTTTTAAAGCTATCCCAAGAAACTTTCGTATGTGCTACAGTACCCTTTAGACAACTTACGGTAACTTCTTTTTGGTGTCATTTTAGAGACTTCAGTGGTCTTTTTTCTATAGTTTTTGATTATTTTTAAGTCGATATCCTGATGGTAAAGTGTTCAATAACAGCTGTTTTCGTATGACCAGTGACTGTTATAGTAGTGTCTATTTAAAAGAAAGGGTAAATGGAATATTTCGAGTAATTTTTGACAGAAACAAGATAAAAAGATGCCGACTTCATCATTCAAAAAAGTGGATGAAGTTGCATTGAATTGTATATGATGAACTATTATGACAAGTATTTTTTTAAAGGTTTTTCAATCTACCTCTTTGAAAACCAACCTAAGGTATTGTGTGTTTAATGTAAATTTTCAATTTCCAAGTGTGTATTCAAGCCGCAAGTGGAAAGTTTACAAAATCGCCGAAATTTTTACTATCACTGCATATAAAAATAAAGTTGTTTCAAGATTTCGATACGGAAATAGAGTACAACCGCCACTACTTTTGGATAGTCCTAAGTACTCCTCAAGCATCCAGATTTATTTTTGCACACCCTATTGACATTCTCTTTTCAGATTTCATTGTTAAGAGGTACGGTTTTTCACATAAGATCATTGTTAAAAATGCAGCTATTTTCAATTTAGTATAGTTAAAATTTATTCGATCATTATCGATGAAACTTATAATGAAAATTAGTGAAAAAAATAGTATTAATAAAAGAAAAAAATATATATATTTGATGTTTCTCTCCTTGTTTTTTTATATATGCGCATATATAGAAAAAAAGAGATGCATCAAGTATCTATTTTGGTTTCTTTATTAAATACCAGTTTCGTCACTAATTTTCGTCAAAAATTTCATCGAGAATGACCTAATAAAATTCGGAATATCTGAATAAATTTCCGCTATATTAAATTGAAAATAATTATATAGTTTTATTTTTAATAATGATCTGAGATTCACTTTTAGATCACAAATCGATGCTTCATACATAAAAGAGTCAGCTGTGTAAAATTTCTCACAGCCAGACACTTCGAGTATAAGACTATGCCGATCGATTACTCAACCTACTGTCTATATTTGTTGAAAGTTTCAGCTTGAAAGTTTGAAGTATTGATAAGTACTTCTATAAATATTGTTTCAAACGAGCATAATAGTTGTATGCTCAAATTATCACATCTGCTCACTGTTTTTTGAATATGTCGAGGACGAGGAACAAAAAATAGCATGAATTTTTGATCGATAATGCCATTTCAACATAAGTGCTACAAAACTATTTAAGTATTATTATTTCTTTTCATAGGTAAACTTTGCTAAACAAGAGAACTTGAATTCCGTTTAGATATCATTTTGTTTTCATTTAAAACTGGTTTAACAGAATTCAATGAGAAAAAGTACAATATGAGTCAAAGCCAATAATATATTTCGAGAGTATGCAGAGAACACCTGCACACCACCCCCTATTAGCTGTTCGAGTGAAAATTGATTCTGCTAAATAATGTTTAATAAAGATTAGTTTTTAAAATGACTATTTGGGCATTGAGTAAATCGATTCCTCTTTCCTTTTCGTCGAATGTTCGAGTGAAAAAGAAAATCTATCTTTTCTTTTATCTCGATGGGAGACGATTCTTTTTCTAGAGGGTATGGAGCGTCAGTCTTCTCTTCAGCCGTGTTACTCACACCCACCCTCTAAGAATTGTGCCACTGAAACTTACTACGACAATAGCCATCGCTCGAAAAATTAATTTCTTTAGATTGTAAAAAAAAAAAAAACAAGAAATTTTAGAAAAGCTTTAGTTTTTCGTTAAACACATCCATATAATTGTACGACCGACCATAGAAGGCAATAGAACGTTTGACACGAAAAATATGGCTTCATCAATTCTTATTTTTGAGCGTAATCTCTCTGCAATAACTTTCTATTGAAATTTAATATTTAAGTTTTTATCTGCAAGTGATAGTCAAAGTTTTATTTGTATTATATATTTTTGCTTAAGATCTTGTTCAACACTAATTACTTGAAAAGAAACTCCAGCCGGCAAAAGAACTTCTTCTTCATTAGGAAATTGTGATATTCCAGCCACGTCGTATGCACGCGGTGAACTTAGTTTAGTATTGGTAATTTCAATGATGAACAATGTATTTCCACGAAATTCAGCCATCTCTCTATTTTTACTCGTTGATGTATAACTAGGCCACGTACGCCATGAACCTACGGCTTGTTTATAAGAGAGAATCGTTGTCAACGATAGTTCTACTCCTCGATAGACTATTCCGATAAATTCTGTACAAGTACGTGAATAATCACGAATAAGAAAGCAAAGTGGTCCGAGAGTATTTAATTTCGAATGATCTGCTTCACGCAAAGCAGTATTTAGAACATGATAAAGAAAACTTTCACGAGTATATAAGTGAATGCAAACTTTTGACGTTTCACGTCTAGGCTTCATTTTACATGACGTCAATTGTTCAGCCATCCATTGTGCTTCTGTTTCACTGTCACTTTGATGTTTTACCGCTTCTTGTAGAATTCCATCTATACAAGCGTCAATGGCTGATTGGAAATCCAGTACAGCTTTTTTACCGGCTGACGATTTGAGCCATTCACTAAGGAATGGACACCATGCTAACGCTTTTCCATATGATGGTGTTGATGTAAGAAGAGGTAGAGAATTGAAGCGTTCTTCACGTAAACACTCTTGTACTTTACAGCCTGTTTGACGTCGTACAGGACGCTGTTTCGATGGGTTAGTTCGATTGAATTGAATAAATTCTTTCAAATCAATTCGATATTTATCGAGAAGAACTTCAGATTTTCCTTGTCGATAAGCTTCTTCAATAATTTGCATTTCAATATCTCTGTATTTAACCCATTCAGCACTGGATTTGTCATACCATACATCTCCGTTTTTGAAGTACCAAAACACGGTCGGGCTATCGATTGTATTCATTTATTAAATCCTACTCTTTTTCTTCCACGTACGCTTTTTGCTAATAACCATATAACGCATTTGTTTGAAAAAGAAAAATATGAATGCCACGTCAATATTTATTTCAATGAATCAATAATGCGTTTCTCTCTGCTCTTATCAACTTCCTTTTCTTGTGTCAAAAACACTATGTAAAAAAAAGAACGTAATTGAATATTCTATTTCATCACGTAATAGACGTAGAGAAACATGAATACTTGTAGTTTTACATTCATTAGTCTTCGTACTAATTTGCCATGTCGTGTAATGGGCATTGAAAGAACATGGGACTATTTGAAAAATGAATTTGATCGAGAAGGTAATGGTTTGTCAGATCCTGCAGCAAGATATTTTGAAACAATAGGACCTGGACCTCAGTTATTTGCTGTTGTTAATCGTTCAGTTTACTATCATGATCAACAACTATGGTCTAAATATAAAAGTTCATATGATATTGTTTTTGACACAATGGAAATTCCAGACTGAAAGATTAACACTTTTTTCCTTTCTTGTTATATTTTTTTTTGTATATGTCGTCTTTATGCCAATAATTAGATGATAAAACATACAAGATGGCACAGTTTCCGTGATTTTTCTTTTATCTAACACACAATACTTGAATTTTCTAGATTTCGTTAATGTATGTGTTAATACAATAGTGATGAGACAATTAATTGTTGTTGTCGGAGCGGATGGTCGACAAGGTAGCAGTGTGATCAAGGTGCTACTTGAATATCCAGACAATTGGCATCTTCGAGGAATTACTCAAGATTTAACATCAATGCATAGTCAGGTAGTCTCTTTCAAGAGAACTTCACCGAAAAATATCATATTGGAGAAACTAGACATATTACAGTTTTATATAAACTTCCTAAACTCGTTTTGTCCGTGCAACTCTTTTCATATGAGTTGATCATCGAGTTATGAGCTTTCATACATCTATAGTGAGAATCATTTAGAGATCTAAAAGTTCTATTCGAAGGGTTCATGATACAAATGAATTGCAAAATAATTCAGAATTTTTATATTTTATAGACAAGATTGATTTTTGAGAACTATCAAAATGTTTTTAATAAGCTCTAACAAGATTTATAAGAAATTATCGAGATCTAGAAGGTTCTTATTCCGTGGTCACTCTGTCATTTTATGGCATTCTCACTCAATCTCTATTCTGTGTACGTGTTTCTACGTGTGTTTGTGTTTTCATGATGCGAGGACTTTTCATCAGAGTACAAAATCTTGCAACAAGTTTCAGTACAATATATTTACGCATTACTAATTAATTTAGTAGAATGTAATGACAAAAAGTGAAGAATCATAAGAAAATAATTTAGTCTCTTAAAAAACAGAATTCTCAAATTGAAAAAAGATTGTTACATTTACAAACTTTCTCTCATTAGTTTCTACATAATTAACTGTTGATAAGGTGCGGGAAATTCAAAATTTGAGCATCACTTTTTTTTCCCAATGTTTTATATATGGTTGAATAGAGCTCGTCAAACTGTATAAGAAAATGTATTTTAAAATTTTTTTTCTTGC